AAAAGAAAAAGAAAAAGAGAGCTGCTTGAAAGAGGCTTCCTTTGATTACTGGGAGGAAAGGCACCCCTGCTGAGGCTTTGGTACATGAAAGATGATCAACTATTTAATTTGTTCACCAAAGAACGGGTTGACAGCCCTGTTCTGCCACATGACAAGGCCTTCTCGCTCTGGAGGAGTCTGATGCAACCAAAATCTACAGTAATCTAATAACTGAACTCAACCATCTTAAAATAAATAGTACAGATCAATTACCTGGTCAATGTAACTCCTTTGATATTTCAACATTTTAATTCTTATTTTAAGTTAGTTACCAAACAGAGCAAAAAAAGAAAACCCACAAGAAACTGAAATTGTTTCCTGGGGAAGGGGGGGAACTCCTTTACAAATTCTCCAGCTGGCAACCTTGTTTTGCATTATTCTTTTATTTATTTTATATCTGACATTTGTCTCTGAAGCAGATGACCAAAAAAAACTTTTAAAAACAAAACCAAAGGTAGCCAAAATGCAATAAATTATATTAAAAACCAGAAAAGTACCATATCCTCCCTTTAAAGGTCCCTTTACTTAGCCAGCTGCCTAGGCACCTGTCTCGAGAGGCAAGCCTTTGCCTGCTGAGAGGGAACCAGATGGCTTCCTTGGAAGAGACTCGCAAGGCCTAGAGGCACCCACAGAAAAAAGCCCAGCATCATCTGGAAAGGTAAAGGGACCAAGACAAGAATTTGCCCCAAAGATCCAAGTCACAGAATCTGGGCATTGTTGACATAAAAGTTTAAATCCTGGTGAAGACTTTACGGTAGGATCTTCTTATCCACGTAATCGGTATCTGCTGATTCACTTATCTGCTGCCTGAAAATATGAAATTTAAAAACCTAGAAATATGTATTTCTATGCATCCCTGGGATGTATTTACCAGAACTGGCTGTTAGAGAGAGCTAGAGACCTTACAAGGCGTAGCATTCGAGACTTCTGTGATTTTTGGCATCTGTGGGGGAAGCTTGGAAGTGACCTCCTGCGCATACCTCAGTCCTACTGTCATGTTAATTCTTCTTCTTTCAACTGCACTATTTATCTATTCGGAGCCTCTGGAGCTGCCTCCAGGTTTTGTTTTTTGTGTTTGTTTGTTTGTTTAGTAAAACCACAGAGGCAGAAACAGGGATCCCTCTACCTGAATCCAGAATGTGGTTGTTCCTCAAGTCCAAGATCTGGATGTAGCAGTTGAATTTCAAGAGGTTGCCCAGCTGAGCGGAATCCTGGAGGCTGTTCAGCTTGTTGTCGGCCAGGTAAAGCTCTCGCAAGTTCATGTTCATCTTCAGAGCCGTTGCTGAAAACGAAGGGGGTGGCAGAGAGTTAATACACGAGAAGAGGTCGCCCTCTTTGGCCTTCCAGACAACTGTCAGCCTTCAAACTGCCCAATCTGGGTTCCCTTCGCTCTATGTATTGAGCCCCCCAGCATTGAAATCTGGAAGGGACTTTGCCTTCAGGGGACACAGAGTGTAACCGAAGGAGGTTCTTTTTCCAGCTTCATCCATTATTACTACAGGTCTGCATTTTAAAGTTCCTTGGGCTGACCCCAATGCATTATTAAAGTCGTTAGCAGGAGGCAGGTGCTGTAAGTTTAAATACTGCTTTTGCTTGGTACCTCTTGCCCTAAGAGGAGGAGAAGGTGGTGGTGCAAGCTGAGCTCTGCAACGGGGGGAAGATACTTGCCTAAGTCATGTCATTTATTTATTTTAAAATATTTACATGCATACTGTCCCATCACCCTTCAGCCCCATACCCTCTCTCTGATCAGAAAAAAAAAAAGCCACAGAGCATCTTCTCCTCCACTAGGCCTGCCTTCTGTCCTCCAGAGCTTGTTCATGAGGAGGTCCTAGTTGACAGGCAGGCTCCGGAAGGTGGATCAAAGGATGAGGTTGCTCAGCAGCGGACCTCGGGAGGAATCTAGAGAGGCAGCGTTTAGCAAGCAAGGAGCCTTTTGTCACATGCCGAGAGCGATCTTTGCAGAGAGTTAGAGGGCAAGTATATCTGATGGGAGGGGTGGAGATAAGAAGAGGCAAGCATGTTTTGGGTGGAGCAAGGGTGGGTGAAAATATGTACCACCCAAGACAACCAGTTCCCTATTGTCACCTAAATCTCCCCCTTCTCCTTAGAAAACCAAGTGCAATACAATGGAAAAGCACATGGTCCCAGAGGGACATGATTTACCCCTCTACATGCAATCCCTTGTATCTTTTTTTAGGGGGGGGGAGGGAAAAGGACATTTTTAAAAAAATCATGCCTCCAAAAACCTTTTCTGGTCTACATAAAAAGGCCAGGGAGGCAAAAACTCATATTTGGATGGCAAATCATACATGCCACCGAATTTGCTGTTTTTCTCACTCCATTATTATCATTATTATTCAAAATACCCGGCAGAGTCAATCAAAATTATGAAAACACTGACTGGTATTATAGAACAGATACAAGTTCCTATCCAACTTTTTGTTCTGCTTCCATATGTCTGACAAAGTGGACGTATCCATGAAAGCTCACATTAAAACATCAGAGCGGCCATCTGTTTTTATCTCGCTTTGTTTCTTCGGATTTTGCCAGATAGGTTTTAACCCAAAACCCTGTGGTTGTTTGTTATTTTGAAGGCGCGTTGAGGGGGTGCTGCCCTTAACGACTC